TGTTTCTGGAGTGCCCAACCTCAGAGTGTCCCCGGAGTGCCCAGCCCCAGAGTGTCCCCGGAGTGCCCAGCCCCAGAGTCTCCCTGGAGTGCCCAACCCCCAGCAACCCTGGAGTATCTCTACCAAGAGAGGGTGGGGATGCTCGAAGTAAGATAATAAAGTAATTTATTGGGGGGTCCTTGAGCAATTAGTAGTAACTCTCGACCCTAAACTCTAAACCCCCCCAAATCTCTACCTAAACTAAACCCCTAAAACTCTCAACCCCCCAGAAAAACTCCCCCGCCCCAGAAAAAAAACCCTAAATGCATGGAGGGCGGGGGGGGGGGGTGGGTTTCAACCCGTGGTCTATTTTGGGGGTTCCGATGACTAGTACGGAGCTGTGAACTGGAGGGTGCCAACAAAGGACCATAAGTTAGCGAACTGCCGACATGGCGGGGTTTACGATATCAGGGGGGGTACCTTATTTTGGGCCCTGAATGTAAGGGGATCCTATTATTTGGGGGGTCGTTTTGAGATCGCTTGTTATCGTACAAGCCGCCCCCATCCCCCCAGTGGATTGTCGGTCCGTTGACCTGCTCAGAAAGAGGCCCGAGGCTTCCGAATCTCGGGTTCCAAGAAAAGTTAGCAGCCTTCTCTGCTTTCGGGAAGCCGGTGCTGTGTTTTTGTGTAGCCCTAAACCCTAAACCTCCAATCCTTACCAACAGGTTTTTGAACGTAGGGCAGGCGTCTCGGTCTGGAAGTTTGCGGGGTATGTTACTAGGGTTTAGGGTTTAGGGTTTTGGGGGATGTCTGCTCGAGTACCTGTAGGGCCATCGTGAGCTTCTAAGTTTGGGATGTCCCCCCCTTATACTAGCAGTCCTTAATTGGGATTGTAATGGGGGGTGTTACTAGAATCCCGATTCAGGGCTCTAAGCATTAGAGCCCCCCAGGACTCGGTCAATCTAGAAGGGTTTAGGGTTTATAATCATCTGAAATTCAACCAGATTTTTTCCTCATCATCATAGCACAAGAGATCTGAATTGCGCAATATCAGTAAGAGGTTTATAGGGTCAAAGGTTTAGGGTTTAGGGTTTAAGGTTTATAGGGATCCCAAGTTGGGCCAATGTTGAGGTGGGCGTGCTCTTCGCGCTCCACGCGGACCCCGGCCCGAAGGGTTCAGGGTTTAGGGTTTACGTACCTCTCTCCCCAGGGCTTAGGGTTTAGGGCTACTTGCCCCCAAGTGGGTGACGTGCATGACGCGTTTTTTTTTTTTAAGAGGCGTTTAGAATCAAAACTCGGTCCCAGGCGACAGGTAAGGGGGCTTTCGTTTCCTGTTTCCATAGGTGCAAGGTCTTTTTTGGTGGATGGTTTGCAGTTCTTGAGGCGGCATCCTAACGGTGAGCAGTGTCTTCCGATACCCAGGGTGGTGCCAGAGTCGAAGAACACACGGTCACAGGGTGTCAAGGCCTCGAGGCATTTAAGGCTTTGTGTGTTCAAGAATCGCCCATTCTGAAGTTTCCCAGCTGCTTTGCGGTCACAAGGATTGCACGGCTGTGGTGGACTTCCTGGGACGCTTGGGCCGACTTCTGCATTCTTGCTGCGTGCAACGTCCAAAGTGCCCTAAGTGCTCAAAAGGGGGCTCCGAGGTAGGAGCCGTGACAGTCCACTCCTATGGGGTTTAGTCAAAAAGGGTTTAGGGTTTAGGCTTTTTTTGTGTGTGGCCTCTCCACAAATCTTCACCTCCAGAGCGCCGCGCGTCTAGCATCTGAGGTTGAAGTCGGTAGGGCTTAGATGGGATTTCGGCTTCCGAAGAGGCGACAGAAATAATCAGCGGCGCGTCGCTGAGTCTGGGACCCTAAACCCTAAAAACCTAAACCCTAAACCCTAAACAGTCTAGGGCGGGGGGGGGGGGGGGGGGGGCACTCTGGGTTCTTCTGGCCTAAGCTCCACGACAGCAGCGCCTTCAGCAGCAACCTTTTGAGGGTTTAGGGTTTAGGGTTTAGGGTTTTCTGAACAGGGGCCTAGTAAGCCAAGACTTGAAGACCTCAACCCTCCCCATTCGGTAAGCCTGGCTTGCGCGAGTTCTGCCAGTCGAAACATGCAATCCCTGACGGCCCCCTATAAGCCCTAAACCCTAAACCCTAGCCCTAAACCCTAAACCCCAAACCCTAAACCCTAAACCCTAATCCTAAACCCTAAATAAACTTCAAAAGCCCCGCATTTCCTGAGGAAACCTGGGCTGGCACGGCCCCCTGGAGGAGCTCGAAGCGCTTACCGCAGCAGAGGTGGCCCAGGAGGGGCTGACACACCCCCCCCCCCCCCCCCAAACACCCTAGGGACTTAGAGGGTCTAGGGTTTAGGGTTTAGGGTTTAGGGTTTAGGGTTTAGGGCTCAGATCCTGGGATCAAAACAGGGTTTAGGGCTTAGGGTTTAGGAGGGGTTTAGGCTTTAGGGTGTACTTGAAGGTTCATGGGTAGTGAGAAGTAGTGTCATAAGTACCCTAAGGGTTCTCCTTAGGAATTCGATTCTATTTCTGTTCAGGGTTTAGGGCTCCGTACGCCCTGAACGTGTTCCCCGGTGAAGAAGGTCCCTTCAATTCAGGGGTAAGCTCCAGGTTCATCCTTCTTGGGCTACTGGATGTAGGGGCCTCAAACACATAGGCGACTGTCGACACTCGTCTGTTGTACGTGTCATTTTTCAGCATGACTCAAATCCTCCCATCCATAGTGTCTAGGGGTGGCCGCGAGTGCTCTCTCGTATCCCTCATCGAATAACAGGGGCCGGGATAATGAGTGACAGCATTCCCTCATGGCCCCTTATTTTATTCTATAAACCCCCCTCCAGAAACCTTTTCTAGTTGTGAAGGCCCCTATATCAGGACCCTAAACCGTAAACCCTAAACCGTGGTAGGCGGTTTTGTGTTTTGAAGCGCATGTCCTGGCCTGTGTGGACCCATCATGGAAGTGCTTGTGGTGGGGGGACAGGTGTTACTCTCTATGGTTTGACTTTTGCATCGTGCGCTTGTATGATTTCAGAGTCTGGGAAAGAACCCACGCGGTGTGGCGGAGCCACTATGCGCGCAAAGCGTGTTCTAACGCTTGGTCGTTTGGGGCGACAGACCTTATCTTTTGCGGGGGTTGTCGGGAAAGACATGGACATAGTGCGCACGCCTTCAAAGAGGGTGTGAGAGAGGGTACGAATGAATCATTCCAGACCGTCGGAGACCTGCTGAGTGCTTCGCCCAGCTAGGCAGGTGCCAAAACCATCCTAACCCCTAACCCCTAACCCCTAACCCCTAAACCCTAAACCCTAAACCCTAAACCCTAAACCCTAAACCCTAAACCCTAAACCCTAAACCCTAAACCCTAAACCCTAAACCCTAAACCCTAAACCCTAAACCCTAGTCGATTTTTATCTGCGCTTCAGGAGGCGGCGCTGCCGGCCTGGGATCTCCTCAGTGAGCTTTTGTCCCTGCCTGAAGTGGTGGGCCGCCTTGAGAGGGCCAAGGCATATGCAGAAAGAATGTAGGGTTTAGGGTTTAGGGTTTAGGGTTTAGGGTTTTCAACAAAGCCCAAAGACAGGGCGAGCACACAGGGAGACATACTTCGGACACCAAAGGAACCATCAAGTGCCCATGATTTGGGTCCACCCTTGAACCGCCCTTAACTTGGCAGCCCAGTGGTATCCTTTACCCTTTTTGTTGGTTATGTGTTCCCTTGTAAAGTACCTAACACGCCAACAAGGGTGCCCTTATTGAAATATGGTTACTGGGCTACCAAGTTAATAGGGATTATAATAGGGGAACCATAATTATAATCCCCATTAAGGACTGTTAGTAGAAGGGAACAGCCCAAGCTCACCCTGATGTGCTTCCGCCTCTGCTGCCTTCAGAAAGCGAGTGCTTGCGCGAGACTGCGAGACTGATGCGTTTAGGGGTTTAGGGTTTAGGGTTTAGGGGTTTCGGGTTTCTGGCACGACTGATGTGTGAGTCTCGAGTTGGGAGGTTCCGCCTTATAGTAACAGTGCGAAATAGGGATTAGAGTACCCCATATTATAGTAACTATTGAGTATCAGGGGAACATCACAAGTCTCTAGGGTTCAAGGAAAGGCTTTAGGGAAACCAGGGCTGAGTCAAAGGGCCAGCTTCCTCCCCACACCCATCATATAGGGATCGAAAAAATACTAAAATCATTCCCTTACAGTCCCTTTATAGTTATACTATAATCGCCCCCAAAACCCTATTTTAGTTGTTAAGGCCACTATAGTAGGCTTTCCAGACCAGACCTTTGTAATTAACATTCGTGACGGCCTGGGCCTTGGCTTTCGCAAACTGTACAGCTCAGGGGACCATGTAAAGAAGCCCTAAACCCCATTAAAAAAAACAAAAAAAAACTTAAACCTGAACCCTATAAACCCTGAACCGCAAACCTAAACCCCATCAACCTTGAAGGGCGGTGCGGGGGGGTGGGTGGGGGGAAAGGGGGTGGGTGGCCGGGCAGGGGGGGCGGGGGGGGGGGGGGGGGGGGGGGGGGGCAAAAAAAGGGGCAGGGGCAGCGGGGGGGGCGGGGGTGAAACAGCGATCTCTCATGGGCCTTAATATTGTCCCTTACACCCTGAAAGACTGTGAGTAAAAGGGGGAACATTCCGAGGTATATAAGGGGTCCCTAAACCCTAATCCCTAAACCCTAAACCCTAAACCCTAAACGGGCCCACATGAAGGGAAGAGGGCAGTCCTGGAACCCGGCTCTGTGGCTGCAGGAGATTTTCAGCCCAGAGGGCTACAGATGAGACATGGGGTTTAGGGTTTAGGGTTTGGGGTTTAGGGTTTAGGGTTTAGGGTTTAAAGATGGGGCACTGACCTTGAATTCACATGAACCTCGCATGCCTCGGTTCTTGAAAGATGTCTATACTTTTTCAAGCCTTGGACTAATGCAGACCTCCAGATGACTACAAACACAATCTGAACCCACTCCTTTTTCTGCGCCATTGGGCCGCCTCGATTCGCGGCCGCGACATCAAGCATGTCGGAGTACAGGTGGGCTTTTTTGGGGGGGTTAGGGTTTAGGTTTAGGGTTTAGGGTTTAGGGTTTAGGGTTTCCAAGTGGAAGTTGCAACCAACTCCTAAGTCGCAGAGGTTTAACACTTCAAGGCCTGTCCGGCAGCCCTTCTCCGGCCCAAAACGCAGCACCAGACCTTGAACACCATGCAGTCACGAAACTCTGGCATTTTGGCTTCGGGATGACATCCTCGAGTTTCTTGTCCCCAGATCACTGTGCTGCTTTTCTTCTGAGGTGTTAAAGTGGTTTCAGTAGGCTTTCCCGTATGTGGGACTGGATTTTGCAGTCCTTTGGGAACTCTAGGAGGGAGCTTTGGAACCATGTTGCCCGGAACCGGTTTAGGGTTTAGGGTTTAGGGTTTAGGGTTTAGGGTTTAGGGTTTAGGGTTTAGGGTTTAGGGTTTAGGTTTTAGGGTTTAGGGTTTAGGGTTTAGGGTTTAGGGTTTAGGGACGCTTTCCGTGTCCGAGTAGCGATCTGATCCCTGAAGCTGAGAACCGTTCATGGGCACTATAGGGGTCGGAATAATTTCTAATGATCTTCCCTTATGGTTCCTTTGTTACTACGATTACCCATGAACATTCAAGTAGATGCAAGTCTCGCCAAAGCCACGGTAGCAGGCGGGTAGCTCTCTTGGTGGTGTTGCTGGTTGTCGTGCAACTTGCCAGCAGCGGATGGAGGCTTTCAGGTTTCGGAGTCCGGGGTAAAGCTGCGCTTTTGCTGTTCAGTGGAAGAACTTGAAGTCCTGGCTTGCATGGCATCTGGACCGCAAAGCTCCCAGCCGACGAGTGGGTTTAGGGTTTAGGGTTTAGGGTTTAGGGTTAGGGTTTAGGGTTTAATTACCAGCCAAAAGTGAATGCGAGGCTGTCGACTCCTGCAGTGAGCATTTTTGGCCGCACACCCAGAACTGCTCCGAGAGATCCCTGTATGATTTAAGGTATATTCCTTATTTAAGGGAGGAATATCCCTTAAATCATACTAAGGATCCCTTAATATGATTTAAGGTATATTCCTCATTTAAGAGGTATTGGGCTCTTTGGGAACTCGCTCCACACAAAGCGCATCGAATTAGCTAGCGCTCTGAAGCCGGCCGGAGGAGACACATCCAAACGTGGCATGCCCAAGGAGCCCAATAGCTCTGAAATAAGGAATTATACCTTAAATCATATAGGGACCCTTATTATTATTATGACGATTTAAGGTATATTCCTCATTTAAGGGGTCTTGGGCTCTCTGGGTGTGTCTAGCCGGCAGCCCACCGCAATGTTGCGGTTCTGCACTGAGCTCAGGCCTTCCATTCCTCGTCGCTGCCTCAAACTGTTCTCCGCAGTTCTGGATGTGCAAGCTGCACTCAAGTTGCACCACCTGCGGTTGCACACAGGTGTACTTGAGAATGAAATGTACTTGAGAATGAAATGTGATCATGGGGCAAATAGGCCTGACGGACTTGAGAAGAGGTTCTCTTCACAGACCCTTTACCCAGACTGAAACCTGCAACGCGCACAAACCCCAACATAGACCGACACACTGACACTCCTTGGTCAGGCTTCATTCCAGGCGGTGACTTGGCTGATATGAAAGAGGGTTTATCTTACTGTTACTGGTGAGTGTGTATAAAGTTCCTTTTAATATTTTTGGTGAGTGCATATATTGGGTGTCCTTTTGGGATACAAGAAATATAAACCCTACTTCATATCCCTCCGGCAGGACTTGACACATCAGGGCCTCAAAGACCTCGAGTTTGGTCGTGGTGAGGTCGACATGGTCTTCAAGTCTTCAGCATACCTGAACCCCATATTGGGTGGTTTTTCAAAAGTAGCGTCGCTTTTGGGGGGGTCGGGTTATAGGTTTAGGGTTTAGGGTTTATGGTTGAGCCCCAAAACTTGTGAAGCATCAGGATATTTCAATACTCCGGACGGATCCACGTGGCTCTGCAGGTCCTTTCGCGACCTATTTCCGGCCCAGAGAAGTGCATCCAACTGTTCAGGACAGGGTTGGTCCATCTAAGTTCCGTTCAGGGTCAGCATGTAGGGAAGGTGAAAGCCACAACCACGTCAACTTGTCGCTTGCAGCTACTGACAGTGACCGCGAAGGCAGCATACATGCGCAGTCGCATGCATGGGTCATGAGAGCCTTGCAATTTCAATGCCCAAGGTACCCATCACTTCGGGGGCTCCCGAAGGCATACACTTTAACAAGCCATACTTGGGGGTTACTAACCAAAAAGCAATTGCACTTAAAACCTAATTATAACCACATTCGGGCACTTAAGGGGCTTCTAAGTGGGTTCTAAATCCAGTTACAATTGGTTCCTAAGTACCACGAACTTCAAGTATAAACTAGGACCGGGAGTAGGCCCCCTTTTTTACCTTTTTTAGGGTTGGGGTTCCCTTATAATCCCCTTAAAAACCCCAAAAGGGCGCCCTTTTCATTCCTAGGCTACTCCCGGGTCTCGCAAAGCCTACACTCAAACTCCAGTTCTCTCGTACGACTTTGGCACCTCTGGCTGCGGCCGTCGTGGGTCTCAAATTTCTGAGGGGGCTTGGTGGGCCGCACGGTGAACACGTCGTCTCTAAGCAGCCAGACCCCCCGAAACGGCACTTAATACACGAGCCCTGAGCTTCTGAGAAACCTCAAGACCCTCCACTGGAAGCACAAACCCTGGATTCACCCCCATGTAAGCCCTAAACCCGACATGCTGCTCAACTCAGGTCGCAGGAATCGCCATCCCCATGGTCTGCGCGGCAATGTCCGGAGGCTCGTGGGCGACAACACAAAGCCCTACACATCGGAGGAATTGAATGTCCAAACGTCTACAGATCAGGTGGCCTTGTCTTACAAGATTGGGTCCTTCGGACAAGGAGACCGTAAATTCAGGTTGTTTTCAGGGAGAGGCTCTGTCAATGTAAGATCCGGTTGCGCGTGGAGCTCTCTCGACGATTCCGGAGGTTCCTTTGCCCCCGTGATCACTACCGGATATTGCCCAGTTCCAAGTAGGCAGAGTAGCAATGTGGCTGGCAATGGAGTGACATGTTGCCTAGGCAAGACAGTGTAAGACCTTTGCGGATTAGGGTCTCTGGCGGGGCAGATCCCTTGCCACTGACGAGCCACTTACGAGCCAGAGCCTTCCTGCGAACTGCAGATCAAGACTCCAAGTCACGGTGAAAAGAAATACAAGAGAATGCTTACGAAGGACTGCCAAGCCTTAGCCGGTTTTGACATTACTACCGACTCTTACGCAAACACACACCAGGAGCTCACAAGCCTCGCACCCACGATCTCTCCCAGACTTTGATGGGGCCCGCTTGGCGAGTAGTGCAAGAGCCTTTAAACAATTCTCGCATGTAATCCCTGCACAGCAATCATGTCACCTTCCTTAAAACCCATTCCCACCAAAGATAGTACATCTCGGTCAGGCCAGTTGTAGTAGCAGATGCCTCAAAGCTGGCCAGTGGTGGTCAAGCAAAACTCAAATGTCCGCCAAGTTCGAGGAGGTTCTTGAGCTCGTGGCTCTCTGATCTCTGGGCCAACTCAGATGCCGATACTCTCCTAAACTCTAGTCTAAACCGTAAACCCTAAACCCTATGGTTCTGGCAGCTGGCAGGTTTCCTGCTCTGCTCCTTGCTGAGGCTCCTGGAGGGGGCCCTTCGGGGCTTCTGGAGTTTAGGGTTTAGGGTTTAGGGTTTAGGGTGCTTATGGAGTTCAGGGCTTTGGCTGGTCCAAGGCGCTAAGGTTAGCCTTGCCCGGAATGAGCCACCCGAAGCCCCTGAACTAAGCACCTGTTGGGTTTTAGGGTTTAGGGTTTAGGGTTTAGGGTTTAGGGTTTCGTTACGGTTTAGGGTGACGCGGCGGAGTCGTAAGGGACTGGAGCTTCTCGAAACCACAGCATCCATCCGCTGAACTGCCCCCGGGCCTGGACATCTCAAGCTTTCGTGAATGGGAGTTGGTATGATTGCTATATAGGAGCCTCAACAATGATCAATCGTTTCCTGCCGAGTTCCAGAATGTGGACTACAGCATACCCGTCAAAAGTGATGAACAAACAGGCCGCTGCATCACGCAAGCGCGAACGGAGCCTTGCAGAGTCCTAAGTGTTATCCTCACCCGTCAATCCTTGCAAAAGACCCAAATTCCCAAAGGTCCAAGGTCAGCCTCGTCAAGACACTATTTATTAAGCGCTTTTCACAAGTCAGCCGGGTCCTACTTGGTTGAAGGTTCATGGGTAGCTAGACCCTAAATAAGGTTGTAACCCTACTTCTGACCCCACTTCCATCTACCCATGATTCTCCAAGTAGAGACCCCTGAAGGGAAGAACAGCAGCAGGTCCAAGAGCGAGCCAGACGATCACGACTTCGGAACTCAGAATTGGGCACCTCGACATGGCGCGGTGTTCAGAGCCTTTTGGGGGCCTCTTGTGTGTGTGTGAGTGAGTGAGTGAGCGAGCTCGCGCCGTGCGTGCGTGTGGGGGCGCGCGTACGTGGGTACGTGTGCGTGTGTGCGTGGGTGTGTGTGTGTGTGAGTACATCGAGTACATCGAGCCCAAGCTTCTTGCCCCCAAACCATCCCACACCCTGCAGCAACTAGCCGCGAAGTCTATTCCCACTTGCAGGGCTCGCCAACAGACAAGTACGTGACGGACCCTATGCAGCAGAATTCCTTTGCCAGAATTTAGGTTCGTGGTTTAGACTCGTAGTCGTGCTTAGCGAGGCTCGGGAAAGCAACCTGAAGCAACCTCGTCTTTGCTGGCGCGCAGGGCAGGAGAGTGCGGGCGCGGGGGGGGGGGTCGCATGCGACGGCGGCTTGTGAGGCGGAAGCTCTGCGCACTCCCAGACGCGGCGCGCTGCTGCGCAAACAACTCTCAACCCCCCTACACCCTAAACCCTAAACCCTAAACTAACCCTAACCCAGAACTAGCTTGGTGCTGCATTGCCGCCCAGGACGACGAGACTGCCAGGAGGAGGCCACGTTTCAGCAAGCCTCGCGTGTGTGCACATGGTCCGTCTTCTACTAGTTTCTTAAGAACCCCCAAAAAACAAAAGAGATTCACCCTTATTCAAGGGTAGTATGGGGATTTTTTTTGGGGGGTTCTTAAGCAAATAGTAGTCTTGTTCACGAGCTGGAGTTGAGAATCCTTGCTGGACACTATTCCATAGACATCAAACCTCCCTCTGAAGCCCCTATGAATTCCCCGAAACCACCCAACAAATCCACCCCCCCACCCCCAAGTGGCATCTCTTGGTTCCGGGGATATTTAGGGTTTAGGGTTTAAGGTTTAGGGTTTAGGGTTTAGGGATGTTAGGGTCTGAGGCCTGTCGGGGCTTGCAGGACTCTGGGGCAGATGCAGAGCTCCAGCCTCGAAACGGTTCTGGATTCACGGTTTAGGGTTTAGGGTGTCTAACCACTTCGAAATAGCTTGGAAAAGATGCCTCGGAACAGCTCATTTTTTAATTATTGTGTCGGCATGCCTGCCTCTGGGGGGCCCACGGGGAGGGGGAGGGGGGGACTCACGCTGGCGATTTTTTATACGATACCCGTAGAAAGAGCGGAGAATCAAGGCTTTGAGAGGTTTGAAGGTAGGGTGACGGGTCAAAGATTTGGGGGTTCAGGGCGGTCCCTTCCGGCACACTGCCGCAGTCCCATGCGTGGACCGGCTGACGAGCACGTCGCGCCGCAGACGTACGGCGCAGACGAGGCCTCCGCTCAGTGCAGTTGGCAGGCTCATCATCACAGCTCGAGTTTCTTTGTCTGGGTCACTGCTGAAAGTCATCTTGCATTCTCATGAATACTTAAACCCAACAAGGAACAATCATGATCATGTTTAATTCGTACCCCAACAATGGTGTCGTTGTGCGCGTCCCACTCCATGACCTGCCCAAATGCTTGACGTCTAAAGTGCGACAGCTGCGTCAGATGGCGTCCAGTCAATGCACCCAAGGCCAAGCAAGCTCTAGACCTTGTGCAATACTATTCCTTTGTTTCAAGATGTACATATATAGACATGTGTATCTATCTTGTTTGTGTTTATGTTGGTATATCTCTATATATACACATACATACTATTGTATTCGTATGTGTTTTTGATGATATTTCTACAGTAGCTTGCGACTTGTCTGGCATGACGCCTCAGTTCGGGCATCTCTTGCTCCAATCCTGTGTGCCAGCGGCCCCCTTCGTGACCCAGTGCTTGAAGCTAATAAATTTATGCATATAATTTACAAGAATGCATGAATATACTAATATTTTTAGAATATGAAGAGTATAAGAATATATGAAGAATATGTCAACATATTACAACATTATACAAGATCGTAATATGTAAATAGAAAATAACAACACTTACAATAAATATCACATAAGGTTCAACAATATACTAGTATAACAATATATGTGTACATGTTTGTAATTATTATTAAGAATCGAATAGTCTTACAATATAATTGTGCCAGCGCTTGGTTGAGCCTCTAAGTGAGGAGCTACCCTGCTGCACAGTCCCTCTACCCTCCAAGCTCGAAACCCTGAAGCTCAGTAACCCTAAACCCCAAACCCTAAACCCCCAACCCTAAACCCTAAACCCTAAACCCTAAACCCTAAACCCTAAACCCCAGACCCTAAACCCCTAAACCCTAAACCCCAAACCCGGCTCCTCCTGGAGCGCAGGACCCGGCGCCTGAGGAGACCAACAGCGCCGCCAACATTGGCCTGTCCGACCCTACACCTAAATTCTCCCGAGGGTTCGGGGTTTAGGGTTTAGGGTTTAGGGTTTAGGGTTTAGGGTTGTGGGCAGCACTCACGGGAGTCCGGGTGCAAAAAAAGGGAACCCTAGGGCTTATAGGGTTAAGGGCTTTAGGGGGTCCAGTTAGAACATTCTGAGTTCGGTACCAAGAGCCAGTTTTCAGGGGTCAAAGGGTGGTGCAGACGCATTGATGTGATCCTGTCGTGGAGTGGCAGTGCTCACTTACCTTTTGCATCAGGCAGTTGTTTGGTATTGGCCCCCAACTTGAAGGCTCCTGGGTAGCTCTAAGTAGGGTTATAAGTAGGCTAAGTATACTTGTAGCCTTACTTCGGGTAGTTGTTAAAGAAAACCTACTTATGGCTACCCCTGAACCAGAGCGCTGTCTCGCTGTTTCATAAACCCTAAACCCTAAACCCTAAACTCGGACCGAGGGCCTTCTTCCCCTTGGGTTCCCTTAGATGCCCCTTTAAACCAAGAAGGGCACCCTTTTTCTTCCTAGGTTACGCTGGGGTCGAGGAAAGTAGTGCACAGAGTGGTGGAGGGGGGTGTTAAAAGTGTGTTTCCCTTGGTTTTCGGATGGTTGAGGAGCTCGTGGGTTAGTAAGGGGGTTTGCGATAATAAGGGACCCCTAAGATGACCCCCAAATAGTAGGATCCCCTAGTGAGAAGGACCCAATAAGGTACCGCTTAGAGATCAGACCTCTCGAGTTTTTTACGGGCTCGTCTTCTGTTGGCCAAGGAGAAGTGGCAGTGGAGCAACGGCACCGGAGGCTCCGGCCTCAGAGTACCAGCAGAGGGTTCAGGGTTTAGGGTTTAGGGTTTAGGGTTTAAAGTTGACATGAACGCAACACGTCGAGCAGACCTGGCTTTCCTTCAAGTCTAGCCCGTGGTGTCCTTTCCAGAGTCTTATTGAGGAATGGAAGCATACATTGCATCAGTTCTTTCCTTCGCTTTCCTTACCAGTAGGTCTCTGCAGACTGGTGCTTCGGGCATCCTTTCTGAGGCGGAAGATTGGTCCAAACCTGTCCCGACAGGTCAATCGTAATTCACGACTTCCTGAGAGCAGGAGCGACTGGCAAAGCCTTGACGCATTGAGGCTGACCCATTTTATAACCCTAGACCCGAAACCTTCCCGGAAGCCGGAACATGGCGTGCACGTCGCATGGAACTGCCTGACGAATAGCATTCCCTCACGGTCCCTTTAAAATTATACTACAATAAACCCCACCAGAACCCTATTCTAATTCCCCTACACCCTACACCCTAAACCCTAAACCCTAAACCCTAAACCCTAAACCCCACACCCTAAACCCTAAACCCTAAACCCTAATCCAATTATTCAGGCCTCCATAGGTCCAAACTGTGTGGCACTTGGGGGTCGAAGCCTGCAGCGAGCCAAAAAAACCCAGGCAAGCAGCGCCGCAACCCTGAAGCAAAACACTGAGGGTTTAGGGTTTAGGGTTTAGGGTTTAGGGTTTAGGGTTTAGGGCTTGTAGAATTTCAAAAAGACAAGCAATTTTCAGCAGAATCTCCAAATTCCTAAACCCTAAACCTCTATAGGCGGCCTAATAGTCCCTGCGTACTCTGGCTGCATCCTGGTCGGGTAGTATTTGCCCTCGTGTTCGTCTCTCCTGAAACTGTTACCCCGCAGTGTGGCGGCCTGCTTGGCGGGTGGCAACCCTAAACCCTAGCCCTAAACCCTAAACCCTAAACCCTAAACCCTAAACCCTAAACCCTAAACCCCAGGCCGCTGGATGGACTTCGACGCGGATGTTGCCTTGGAGCTGTCAGAAGCCGTCGGTCGAGGCTCGTGATGCCAATTCTTGAGGCTTTTAGTCGGGTTTATAGGGTTTAGGGTTTAGGGTGTAATTTTAACGCTACGCGACCCGCCTCGGCCCGGCCCAGCGCATCCGCGCGACCATGGTGATTCCGCAGCGCCCAAGTCGCTGGACCCCAAGCAATAAGGGTTGGGTTGAGGGTTGAGGGTTGAGGGTTCCGGGTTTATGGTTTATGGTTTGAGGTTTGGGGTTGAGGGTTAGTTTAGGGCTCAAGGTTCACGCTTTGGGGTTGAGGGTTTTTTGGGGTTTAGGGTTCGGCTTGGAGTGATCGTAGGGTTGAGCTAGGTTTTTTAAGGTTTAAGGCGACTCTTCGGCAGGGTGGGGGGGAGGTGGGGTGGGGGGAGGGGAGGGGGGGGGGGGGCTTGGGGGGGGGGGGAGGGGGGGGGTGGGGGGGGCTTCAACTGCCTCTAGTCCTGGCGAACCGTCCGCTTGCGGACCCCGGTTTCCCAGGGGGGGTACCCATTTGAGGCCAAAAAAAGGGGTCCGAAAAAGGGCTTTGGGTGGAGGATTTGGAGGGGGGCCTGTTCTGACAACCTATACACCTCCGGCCCGAGGCCTCGGCGGATCTTTTCCCTGGTTCTTAGTAGGGAATGAGTGAATTCGGGCCCTATATGTACCCTTTAAGGGTGCATTTTCGGGCCCTCATTCCCTCAATTCCCTACTAAGGACCAGCCAGTCTTTTTAGGGTCTAGGGTTCAAAGTGTTGAGGCTTACTGGAAAAATGATGTGGTATGGTCCTGTATGTATACGTTGGAGACAAGAAAGAGCTAAGTTTCAGCATGTCGCGCTCATGGTTTGAGTCGGCATTGAGATATGTGATATGTACGTACAGGTAGGTGTGCATGTATATATATATATATATACGTATATGTATATATATATATATGTGTTCATTTATTTATTTATGGATTTTTTTTATTTATTAGCTGTTTATTTCCATGATATGATATACACACCTGTCCAACTCATGGGATGCTGCCGACGAATACCTCCCCTGGCCTCCCTCGTGCAGACCCGTAGCCTCTGACACCGCCTCCTGCGTTTGCAGGCGAGACTCTCCTCAAGCTCTCCATTCGAGGTCGCTGGCGGCTTGGTGGCAGTAAGCATACATTGTTGGATCCCTGAGCCCTAAACCCTAAACCCTAAACCCTAAACCCTAAACCCTAAACCCTGCTCGGGGCATCGATGTCTAGCTACAGGAACTAAGAGACCCGGAGGACCATCGAGTGTAGCTTTCAGACTGGGAGCCGCGAGTCTTTCTACAGAAGTGGAAAGTCCTGAGCTGCAACCTATAGGGCTCCACTGCAGTCCGCATCATGTCAACTGGTAGCCTCGAGGCTCAGAGACCTTAAACCACTCGAAACCCTGGACCGTAAACCCTGAACCCGATGCAAGTCGGCCACGCGTCGAGTGGCTGAGGTATGAGATCAACCTACAAGCCCCTCGGACAAGAAACAGGGAGGGTCCGTTCAAGTGGGGACCTCATGGAGTTTTGGAGTTAATGAATCCCTAAACCCTAAACCCTACACTCAGCCCTCACTTTGGAGTGGAATCCGAGTCTCCACTCCGGTTCTAGCCCTGCCACGCCAGGTGCACATAAGACAGACTTGTGTTTCCTTCGCCAGGGAACTGTACACTACCGATGTATTTATGTACATGTATGGATATGTATTTTGATAGACAATATATACATATATGTATATGCATATGTATATGTATGTGTATATATATATAGATTCATTCATTCATTCATTCATTCATTCATTCATTCATTCATTCATTCATTCATTCATTCATTCATTCATTCATTCATTCATTCATTCATTCATTCATTCACATTCATTCATTTGCTTATTTATAGATATGCTTATAATACATACATACATATATGTGTCCGTGTGTATCAGGTCTTGAGATGCCTACTTCGTGGCACAGGGATTGAGGGCTCAGAGTTGAGCAATTTCCGAAACGAACATTCATGTCGAATCGTCACAAGAAAGTTGTGCTTCCCGCTCTAGATCCCCGGTCATCTTCTTTGCAAGACATGCACGCAGACACCGCTCGCCAAGAAAGCCCCTAAAGCATTTTGAACCCCTCGGGCTGGTGGGGCTTAGGGTTTATAGGGTTTGGAGTTTAGGGTTCGGGTGTCGACTTTGGGGTTTAGGGTTCAGGGTTTAGGATTTTCCCCCATTTCTCGAGCTTTCCGGCCCAGTCGATGCAGCAGCAGAGCCTGGCGACGGGCCGTTTCCGGCCGATTCGCAAGGTGGCGGCGGTGCAGTCGGAGTTAATGTGAGAGTTTCTTGGCTGACCGTCCAAGCCTCCAGAGAAATTCTGTTTGTGTCGGCCCATGGGGACTTAAGAGTTTAAACGTAGACATCCCATCATGACATCCGTGAACGGAACCGTTGAAGTCACCGTACGCTCAAGCACTTGCAAACTATGGTGGTTTTGCCAGAACTGGTTCAGTTGCATGGTAAGCTGCAGGTTTATTCAACTCGCCGGTCTAGGTGCGAAGGCCATTCGGTAGGGCAAGTGTTGGGCCTAAGTCGGAGGGTGAGGTACAATTCCTGAAGTCCGATGGTCTCCTGGAGGATAAGCTTTGGACTTGCTGCCGCAAGTGGTGCGGCCGCTTGAATTTTCTTATAGCGCCGCATAGTCAAAGGAAGTTTTGACTACCTCTAAGGGTAGTTACATGGGCTCTGTATCTGTATAGGGTAGATAGGGGGTATATAAGGGGTCCCCTTTTAAGGGCCCATACTAAGGGGCCATGTAACTTCCCGAAGACTACCTGGAGCCAGGTTTTTAGTTCTGCGCCCGGGAATCAGTTACCAGGCGGATACAATGTCTGCCGTGGCCACCCTGGCAGCACAACAAGAGTTATCAAAGCTGGAGTAGGGCTCTCAATGGGACCGTGAAATTAGGCGTTGTTTAGCTTCGGCTGCAAAGATGCTTGCTTGCTTACTTATTGCTTCAGAAATTTGAGAAATCCGGAGCTGTCTGGCATGGCTTCAAAATTATATCTCCGGGCTGTTGTGACAGAATGCTTGCTGTTGCGACAGTCACATGCACGTCCGCGAGTTTCCCATGATCAAAGGATGAGAGCATCTTGGGCACGCGGATATTGGTAGGGTGCTTTGACTACGTCTGCTTCAGCACACGAGCTTGAAGCCCCTCAGAAGATCTGTAGAGCATGTGCTCCCGGGGCGACCCGGATCTGGGCTCTAAACCCTAAACCCTGAGCTCTCGAACATGTCCGGGCCCCAGCATGCCAGAAGATGCCTATGTTTCACACCGGCATGTCACAATATTGGGAAGAGATGTGACGAACCTTTCCAGCATTGTTTTTTTGGGGTTAGGGTGTAGGGTGTAGGGTTTAGGGTTTAGGGTTCAGGGTTAGGGTTTAGGGATTAGGGAGTAGGGTTTAGGGCATCCTTAAATCACACCTTCAATTCAGACGCAAATGAACAACATAATCATGGCCCCAGCATGTGTCAGGCTTCGGCGGACGTGGGGGTGACTCCAAATTCGGGGCCTTTAGAGATGTCTTTGACAATAGCATCTCGTTAATCATAGTGGCTCGTGGCTTTTCAGGGGCTTTGGAGGAAGGGTCGTGATTTCCCTGTTGCTTGAGTTCCTTGACTTCTTTTTCTGCTGCAGTGGCTGCGTGCTTCTCAACGAGACTAGGCTGATCCTTACCCTTGGTCACGTGCACAACAGTATAACTGACCCTAAGTCCATGTACCTATATTATGTAGTAGATATTTGGGCCCTAAAGCTACTACATAGGAACCCCTTTAAGGCCCAAGAGGGTATACGGTATGGGTACATGGACCCTTTTGGAGAGACTGATAGGCTCGTAGCGCACGGAGAATGGAGGAAAAATGGTCTAGGGTTTAGGGTTTAGGGTTTAGGGTTTAAATTAGGGTTTAGGGTTTAGGGTTTAGGGTTTAGGGTTTAGGGTTTAGGGTTTAGGGTTTAGGGTTTAGGGTTTAGGGTTTAGGGCTTAGGGCTTGGGGCATGCCGGCCCTCAACCTGCTCCACGCAGTTCTAGCGGCAAAGCCCAGGGCAGCTGAGAGGTCTGCAGGGTTGCTGGTACCTGGAAGCCAACTCAGATATAACGGTTTACGGGGTTTAGGGTTTAGGGTTGAGGGTTGAGGGTTGAGGGTTGACGTTCTAGGCCCATCCGGAATCTGCATGGTCACGTGGTGATACACTGGAATTATGATGAGTTGTGATCTGTAGTTTGGGTGCAAGGAGTAACGCTGTTGGTGTTGTTGTGTACAAGTCCAGCATCCTTGCCTTCAAACCCGCTGCTTATGCTGAAGCATGAGGCACGCAAAACAGCTCGACTGGCACCAGATGTTTGGCAGTGGCGAACGCTTGAGCCAGCCCTTGAGCCCCCCCCCCCCCCCCCCTATCCTACTGTTTGCTTAAGAACCCTAAGGAAGAGCATTTTTTCGGGGTTCTTAAGCAGTTAGTAGTGTCAGGCCTCTTTTCTGCTAGAAGATCTATCGAGCATGCCAAGGCACATGCGCTGCCGCAGAGCTTGATTCTTGAGAACCTGAAAAACTTAGCCATGGTACTTGGTTTACATCTATTAATTGATACTGTTGTCTTGAGTGGACTGAAGGTCCCGACCTTTTTCTTCATCTTGCTGCGATGGCTCGTGATCCAAGCTGCCTTCCGAGCGATCTGAAGCCTAAACAACCCCTAAAGCCTAAACCCCTAAATCCTAAACCCTAAACCTCTGAAACCACGATGCAGCCCCCTGGCATACTGCAAGACGCTGCCTGCAGTCGCCGACGCAGCCAACAGTAATTGGAACAGGGTTTTTTGGGGGTTTTTATGTCTTAGTATATAGGGGCCATAAGGGAATACTATTAGTAATTAGTCCTTGTTAGAGCAGGCTTTTGGTATGTAGGGACCATAAGGGAATACTAATTACTAGTGGTAGTTATTTTGACCCCTATAGTATGCACCCTTAGAGTTACCAGCACCCTCATCCCTTGCGCGCGTGATGTGGAGGGCTCGCCATGGCATGGACGGCAAATGAAGGTGCGCCTGGGGCTACCTTGCAACTGGTTTTGTATGCTCCAGCCACAGATGCGGATCCAGTAAGTCACTATTCTAGGTAATATCATAGTAAAACATAGCCATATTGATAATGTTAACAAGCGAATCTGTTGCTCCTACGTTTTTTCCCTCCGAACACATGTCCTCAATCGTGCGCCATTCCACATGCTACCTGGTCCTGGCATGGATTGCATATACAAGACCTGACGACCCAGTGCTTAGGGTTTAGGGTTTAGGGTTTTAGGGTTTTGGGTTTTCGGGCTTAGGGTTAAGGGTTTAGGGTTACAAGACCTGACGACCCAGTGCATACTACTGAGAAGGAAGGCATGAACCCGTGGTTTTAAAGTCATTATGTATTGTTTGTTTGGATATTGACTAGGATCTAGTAGAGGGTCTGCGAGCAATTGTTGCCTGCAGGGGGTCTTTGTAACGACACCAAAGAAGCAGTGTGCAAACCTCTCGTGAAACCCCAAAGCATTCCCCTAAGGGTCCATGTACTTAAATAGGGAATGCTTGGGCCTTAAAGTACCTCCCATATAGGGACTCTTGGGCCCAAGTATACAAGAATATGGCACATGGGCCCTCAGGGTTCTCTTAAGTCCATTTGTGGACCGATGCCGAGCAGGCCGCGGAAAAGGGCACAGGCAGGGTCCGGATGCTTGGGGTTGAACCGTTCAAAACTTTCAGAATGCAGGCGTTTTAGGGTTAAGGGTTCAGGGTTTAGGGTTTTGTCTTGCCTGGCTTTCGCAAGAGTGCCTTGTTCCAAACATTTGCCACTGCGTTCATGGTACCCAGTAGCTCCCTCATTACTTAAGAGCTAAGCAGATTCGGTGTCAGACACATGGGCAAGATCAGGGTGTCAATCAGAGGTTGTGTCACACCCAGCCACGCACGAATGGAAAGTTGTAGGAGTATGGCCAACGAACAACGGCGCGCTGCAGGCAGTATGAACAAGATAACCTTTCTGCAGCGCCCTGTGCCATTTGGTCATGTGCGAGAGTGAGTGTGTGTGTGTGTGTGTGTGTGGGTGCGTGCGTGCGTGCGTGCGTGTTGTTTTGTTTTTAACAACCCCTCATGGATCATCCATGATTGGCAGTGCAAAGCTCGTATCGTCGGCTTTGTTCGCGTTCGTTGAGCAGCAACAGATTTCCACACGACACCATCTACTCTATACTCGGGGTATCCCAAGCTCAAGGGGGCAAAAAGTTCAAATCAAGCCCATTGAACTTTTTTTGGGCGACCTGGCTTATGAATGAAATATTCAGAAGATGCTCCAATCTCAGCTCCACCTTCCCTAAGCTCTTGCAGCGGCACTCGCTCGCTCACTCTCTCTCTCTCTCTCTGTCTTTTTGTTGTTTGTTTTTCTCTCTCTGTCTCTCTCTCCCCTTCCTTCTCGACATGTTCAAAATCTGAAGGTATGCTAGCCTTACCTATCCAGGTCCATGCTTCTTGTTTTTTCAACATCACACCTCCTCAGCCCTAAACCCTAGACCCAAAAAACTTGAATCCAACAAACTCGCTCCGGCAAGGCCCTTCCGGGAGAGCAGCTCCTGGGAGACGGATTGGTCTTGGGATGTGGGGGCCTCCGATTCTCTGCGTTTAGGGGCAAGAAGGGGCTTCTAGCATGTTCATACAGGACTATGAGGATTTTGGGATGCAGACGTGCGGGTTTGAGGGCTGATGAGGGGACAGGCGTTTAGAGTTTGGGTGCCTCTTTGCGATTCGGACAGTAGCTGGCGATGCGCATGGGTCTGTCTGGGCAGACCGATTTTCATTTTTTCCGCGTGTGTTGTGTACCCTTCTCCACCGGGGTGTATCAGTTCAGGATGCAAATCGGACTAACCGCCGACTTTGCTGAATGTCTTGGGGTTCTCCTATTCCGGCCCTCCTCAAACCACATGCCAAACACCCTAAACCCTAGAGGCTGAACCCCTTGCACCTTGAACACCTAAACGGTCAAAATACCTGGGAACGTGAACCATACCTGAGCCCGATTGAACCCTGTAAACCCTTACAAGACCACACCGTAGAAGAGCCGACAAACCCCGCATGTCTATGCGCACGCACACGCACACGCACACGCACACGCACACGCACACGCACACGCACACGCACACGCACGCACGCACGCACGCACGCAAACAAACACACACACACACACACACACACACACACTGATGCACACACCACACACACTGATGCACACACCACACACACTGATGCACACACCACACACACTGATGCACACACCACACACACTGATGCACACACACACACACTGATGCACACACACACACACTGATGCACACACACACACTGATGCACACACACACACACACACTGATGCACACACACACACACTGATGCACACACACACTGATGCACACACACACTGATGCACACACACACACATGTGTATATATATATACATACACATATATATGTGTGTATGTATAGACTATATATATATGTATTTGTCAATTATTTCTATACATATATATATATGTATATATCCATACATTTATATATAACATGTCTAACATGTCTATTTCTTGTACAAGCCCCCCCCCCCCCGCCCCCCTCCCTCCCCACTCCAGCATTGGTCCTGGTCGTCCTGGTGGTCCTGGACGGCAGAGCCGAGCCAGTCCAGTCGAGCAGCGAAGGGCGGGACGCCCGGGCCCACAGAGTCAGGGACTGTGGGGTTATATGAAGTAGGGTGTATATTACTGTTATTGGTGAGTGTATACAAGATTCCGAGGAAATATTGGTGAGAGCATATATTGGGTGTTGTGGGGGTACAATATAGGCCCTACTGCCCTACTTCATATGGGGCTTTACGAAACTAGGGGGGTGCCCTTTTTTTTGGGGGCCCCTTTGAGGGATTCTATTCTATTTGGGGTATAGAAGGGTTCCCCCTATTCTGGGAAATGCTCATGAGGGTTTCTGGTAGCCCGGTGGGGCCCTTTCGCCCCCTTTTTTTGGGGGGTTCAAGGTTCCCCTATAAAGTGGTCAGCCACTCATTTCCAATATGGTTAATGGGCTAGCAAGGTTTCTATGGATGATGAGATGATGTGGCTTTAGGGGTTGTAATACAGTGGGATTATAGGGGCTTGGGGAGGGGGGGGGGGGGGGGCTGAGGGACATGCAGATTTCGGTCAAAACCCTGCAGCAAAGCTTAGGGTTATCATTCGCAGAGTGGACACCTCCAAGCCCTCGCCCTTCTTGGCTTCTGGTGGACGTGCTTGCGTTGTTCTGTTTTCTTTCAATTGAGCCTGGGAGTGGAAAGAATGAAAACCGTCTCAAAGGTTCAAGGCTCCCCCCCTCGAGCTTTTCATTTGGACACCTGGGGCTGCCAACACGTTTTACTACTATTTGCTTAAGAGCCCCCCCAAAAACAAAAATGACTTATAATCCCCTTACTACCCTTTTTGGGAAGATTTTTTTTGGGGGGGGTCTTAAGCAAACCGTAGTTTAGCATCGATTGAGGATGCGTGCGGCACCTCCTTTCGGACCCTACGTGGCGGTTTATTTGGGTAGTTTATAAGTAGTATATATATATATATATACATATATATATATATATATATATATATATATATATATATATATTGCTATAAACTTATTCAAGGTACTTGTGACCCTGCTTATAGCTGGTTATCAACTTATTTGAGGTACTTGGTGAACCTACTTATAACTGACTGGTTATAGACGTATTTGAGGAACTCCCTTTTTTACAACTGAACCCTAAAACCCTAAACCCTGGTTATAAACTTATTTGAGGTTCTTGTGAGCCTACTTCTAAGTACCCCGTGAACCTTCAAGTAGCCCTAAACCCTAAACCCTAAACCCTAAACCCTAAGCCCTAAACTGCGGAGTGATCCCTTTGGGGTCTGCTAGGCGGGTGGCAAGAGAAAACCCTAAACCCTAAACCCTAAACCCTAAACCCTAAACCCTAAACCCTAAACCCTAAACCCTAAACCCTAAACCCTAAACCCTATAAACCCTAAACCCTAAACCCTAAACCCTAAACCCAGCAAAGCGGCGCTACTACTTCGTGCCCAACCCAGGCGGCGGCCCTCGGCCGTGGCTGTGTACTTCGGGACCTTCGACCCGATCCACGAACCTTGGGCTTAGGGGTTTAGTGTGGGACCTGCTTTAATGTTAGGGGCCCCCCCCCCCCCCTGAACAGTCGGGGCTTGGATTGGGTCCTGATTACACGGCCCCGGGGGCTTATATGATTTTAATAGGGTGGAGTTTAGATATGTTTAAAAGGGGCAGCAATGCCCGGTTATCTTTTTTAAAGGCGCGCCACGTGGAATTTTCTTACGGCGCCCGGACGGTTTGACTTTAAAGCGGACCCCTCAAACAGTCAGGAGATCCTGAATAATTTCGCCAAATTGACTTTAAAGCGGCCCCCCCTAATAAAGCAGGTCCAACATTAGGGTTTAGGGCTTGGGTTTATGGTTTAGAGTTTAGGGTTTAGGGCTTAGGGTTTAGGGCTTAGGGTTTAGGGTTTAGGGTTTGGGGTTTGGGGTTTAGGGTTTAGGGTTTAGGGTTTAAAACTTGGACTTTGGTGAGCTATGCTGAGCTGAAAGCTTTCGGGAGAGCATGCTGAGTGACATATACATATGGGCGGTTGTCAAAATTATTAGTGCCGTATTACAATAGGGATTTAAAAAGGGACCATAATTTTGACAACCACCCATAAGTAACCCTCCAAAGGGGGAGAGAGATGCCCTCCCTGTTTGGGTATTCTTGCCGTAGAATGAGGATGTCCCCCCTTATGCGAACAGCTCCTTGATGCGGATTCTAATAGGGGGCCTTGCTAGAATCCCTATTAAGGACTGTAGTATAAGGGGGAACATCCCAAGCCTTAGATGCTCATAAGTTAAGGTACTGACACAGGGGACCGTAAACCCTAGACCCTGCACCGCACCAAAAGACCCAAACCCTTCGGGTTTAGGGTTTAGGGTTTAGGGTTTAGGGCGTGCCAAACGGAAGCGCGCTTTGGGAGCGCGCGGTAGTCTGCAGACCTACCCACCCCAAGACCGCCCACTTACAACTCTCAAGGAGTTAACACCTTTTTTTTTACAATGCATCACATGAGTCAGCACTCACGCCCTTTTGGGGACCTCCACAAGGTGCGTGGACCAGGCGCAAAGCTGCAGCAGACGGAAACGAGGCAGGGTCAGCGAAGACAGCTTGGGTTGGCCAGGAACAGACAAAGGCAGCGAGGCTTGGTTGGCGCGAAGGGGCTAAAGCCAGGGAGGCAACACGCAGTGAACAGCTTGGGTTTGGCAGAGCGCGACGGAAACAGGGCTGGTGTGGACCAGGCACAAACTGGTGTGCGGACAGCTTGGCTTGGCGCGAAGGGGGTAAGGTGGGGTGCCGGGCCAGGTCAGGTCAGGTTGGGGACCTCCACAAGCTGCCTTCACCAGGCATATGCATGAGGACAGTTTGTGTTTTTTTTTCAAGGGCTATGAAGGAATGTTCCAGGAACAGACAAAGGCAGCGAGGCTTGGTTGGCGGTGGGAAAACCCCCGAGCAGGGCCAGGTCAGGGCCAGGGCCAGGGCCAGGGAGCCAGAGCAGGAAAGCCAGGGCCAGGGCCGGGCAGGGCCAGGGCCAGACCCAGGCCAGAGCCAGGGCCTCGCGGACGGGGGTGAGGGCCAGGGTTTACAGGGACCTCCAATGCAGGACCCAACAATGTGCGCGGACAGCTTGGGGTTTAGGGTAATATAATATCATACAGTGACAACTGCTGACTCGGCCTGTGCTGGAGGGTAAGCCAGCCTGGAGGCCAGCTCGGTCGCCCGCCTGGGGCTCCCTCGCAGGGTCTCACTGAGCGCTCGACCAGCGCCCGCCTACCCCAAAAGACAAGAGAGTGGGGTGGCGGGCGGGTTTAGGGTTTAGGGTTTAGGGTTTAGGGTTTAGGGTTTAGGGTTTAGGGTTTAGGGTTTAGGGTTTAGGGTTTTAGGGTTTAGGGTTTAGGGTTTAGGGTTTAGGGTTTAGGGTTTAGGGTTTAGGGTTTAGGGTTTAGGGTTTAGGGTTTAGGGTTTAGGGTTTAGGCAAGCTTGTCCGAGCCTGGGTTCAAAAGGGTTTTAGGGTTTAGGGTTTAGGGTTTAGGTTAGGGGTATGTACAGCCAAGCCAAGGAGAACCACATCGGTCTCGCCAAGTTTGCGCTTGGGGCCTCAGCGTTGCAGACTGTGCTTGGGGGGTCATTTTGGGTAGTCATAAGAGGGGTTATAGCTAGGGTAACTATGATTATATCTGGGTACCACCTTATGTTCCACTAGATCCTGCCGAGCTTTCGTTTCAGGTGACTTCGGCGTACACAACATCACGGACTGTGTTGCATCCCTAAACCCTAAACCCTAAACCCTAAACCATCTCAAGGAGACCGGGAGAGGTAGTAGAAGAGTTCTCTGAGCATCCCGGTAGAGTTTGCGTGTCGAAGCCCATCCATAGCCGCCATAGCCCTGATCTCCCCACGCATTCCGAAACCCGAATGCAAGGCAGCAAGGGCGGCAGCCCTAAACCCTAAACCCTCAACCCTAAACCGCTTTCGAAGCCCGGGCACATGACACTGTGCTGTGTAAGCCTTTTGAGTTCATCTAGGGCGTCGGCCAAGAGGCTTTCTGCTTGAGACCTTGCAGCTTGAGATGTTTTTTGGTTTTTCGGGGGCTTTCGGCGGTTTGGGTGTGACGTGGTTTGATTCCCTCCATCAGGAGCGCAAGGAACACAAGTGACTGGACACCTTGATGCCTGCAGGCTGGAGAAAGGTCTCGCGCAGCTTGTCTACTTCGTGGTGAACGGCCCGCAGCTCAGTCTGGCCGGGTCGCGAATCCGGACGCGGCGCCATCTTCGGAAACCCTGTGTGCTTAGCTCATTCTCATACACGCGCCCTTCAGGCGGATGCTTTCGCACTCAACACAGCCTCTCTGCCCCGCAAATAAAGCCATGCTCCCGGAACCCGACCCGAAACCCACAAACGCCCACATGAACCCCAAAACATCCCCTCACCCCCCCCCCCCCCCCCAGCAAAAACAAGACTCTAAGCCCTGCACCCGAAGAAAAGCCGCGAACCTCTGAAGCAGGTGACAACCCTCTCAAACCATTGGCCACATCCCCAGCATCGACTGGTGAGGTTCGTTCCTTGGTAGCCCCCAGATACCCTTAACCCCTTCTTGTTCTGGGGCTCCCTTCTAAAGTAACAAACCAAAGCAAGAGTACCCGTATACATATGGTTACTGGGCTACACGGTCGGCCGGATTCAGGGTTTGCAGGGCTTACAGGGTTTGCAGGTGTTACAGGCTTTGTAGGGTTTGTCGTTGGGTTTACAGGGCTTAAGGGTTTATAGTGCATGGTTTAAAGGGTTTGTAGGTTTCCAGAAGCCCTGGGGTTTGTAGGATCTATGTTAGATCTGCCTCCCTACCCTCACGAGGCAGCCTCCTATGAAGAGCGCCTGGGCCTTGGCATTCTGAGAATTCACACGCGAGCGAAACTTACAAATCGGGTCCGGAGTGCTGCCTTGTACCCGACAGAGAATTCTTGCCCTTTGGCCCCCTGACCACCAGACTCTTCCTTCGCTGCGCACCTAAACCACAAGTATGCATGCTTCTACTAACTGCTTAAGCACCCTGCAAAAAATCTCTGTTGTCGGCTTTTAAGCAAGATAGTAGGCTTCATCACCCTTGCAAACACCTCACGAAGGAGGCCCAGGAGTACCCTTGTTCCCTTTTTTGGGGGGTTAGACACCTTTTTGAAGCAAGAAGGGCATCCTTATCTTAATCCCAGGTTGCTGGGCAACCCAGCTGAATCATGCCAGCCCCTGAACCTCAACCTGGGCGGCCTGGACAACGGTTAGGGTTTAGGGTTCAAGGTATCGGGTTCAAAAAGGGTTTAGGGTTTGGGGTTTAGGGTTTAGGGTTTAGGGTTTAGGGTTCAACTTGCGACAAGAGAACTGCAGCATGCAAAGGCCTCGCCCTTGTACAGCTGCGGCTGGAGGTGCAAAGTGACACCCGGATCAGGCCCAGAGCCTAGTAGTAGAGTGGTCCCTTTAAGGAGATTCTCTTCTACTTGGGGTATACAAGGGTACCCCTATTTTGGGAAACACCCAGATGTCTGTGTGTGGCTTATACGTGGAGGATGTGAGGCTGAGCGGGAGCGGGGCGCCAGGGGTTGTTCTGTTTGTGCCAAGGGTGGTTCTGATTCTCGCATCGTGGCGCCGCACCATGTTGCAACACAACCCCTTACCTTAACCCCGAAGCCCAGAAATACCTGACCCAGAGAAGTATCCCCAAAACCCACAGACCCCCAAACTCCCCAAACCCTGAACCCTACACCCTAAACCCTTTTTGCCACTGGACTTGGGGGACTAGCCAGATCGGAGCCCCTGGCTGTGTTAGCTGAGGGCCGGACTTGCAACACCAGAGATGGACACACAAACAGTCTCACACTCGTGATAGCGAGACCCTGTACACTTGTCATCCAAAACCCACACCCTAAACCCTAAACCCTAAACCCTAAACCCTCCAAAGCCCGAGAGCTGCACCTTGCGCAGGTGCTTTCGCCTAACCCGGGAGGAGACTCAGAGAATGCGCTGGACGAAGCCTCAGATGCCAGCTGCCCTTCCCCCCCCCGGACTAGAGTGAAGCTTTCAGGGTCTTTATGGGTTTAGGGTTTAGGGTTTGGGGTTTAGGGTTTAGGGTTTAGGGTAACCAGAAGAAACCCTGTGGGTACAACAGGCATACCGGGACCTTGTACAAGCACGTGGGCAACTCCAAAACGCTGCGGGACTTTCGGCTTTTGCCGTAGCTGTGCGTAATCCGAGGTCAGACCGCGAGGAGATGTGCAAGAAGATCAGGTGAGTGCCAGAGTGCTTTGAGACTAAAAACCTAAAACCCTTCAAGGCTCCATCATGGCTCCATCGCCCCAGCTTGTGATGGAACGAATGGGTGTGTGTTGAGTGAGGCTTACGGTCCTTCGGGTGGTTGAGGTTTGGGCGTGGCGCTTCAGAAAGTGGTGGTTTCTAGGTTGACGTGCGCTGCGGCAAAGTTCTCGATCATGATCCCTTACTCTTTTGGCTCATGACTTATGTGTTGGCTCTGGTTTCTTTCGGGGCCAGTATGGATCGAGCTCGACATCTGCATTGCTGACCGTCCGGTGTAAACACAACTGATTGTCTCTGCAGAGAGGCGACTCAGTCGGCTGGGCAGGTGGAGCCCCAAACTCTCCTCCCCCCTAAAACAGTAGCAAGTCTCCGCTGTTGAAGAACGGCGTTACAGTGTTGCGTCGCCCATTGAATCAGCTGAGCTTGTTGACTTCAAGGACAGAAGCAGCATCTGAACTCGGCGGGCACCTGCAAGCCCGTGTCTCAGGGAGGGCGTGTTCGAGGGGACCGCCCTCAAGCCACCAGCCCACATAATTGAGTATCGAGGCGTTGCAGATGCTCGGCCAAGACTCTTTCGAGCAGGTGGACCCTGCACCTACTGAGTTGAAGGTTTCGAGGGTGCGGCGGTAGGCCTAAGCCAGACGCGGGTTTGAAGGTTTGGCATCCATAACCCCCTGAATCCTCTGAAGCCTTGAAAGTTGAGGGCATGAAAGTGAGCCCAAGTCCCCTGGCCCCTGCTACTCCCAACACTCACACGCACACACTCACCGACCCACCCGCACGAGCACGCAAGTTCAAGCACGCAAGCTCTTAAAGTCACAAAACAACCAACACCAAAAGACAACAAACAAATGCCAGCAACAACAAACAGGAAACCAAAACAAACCTAAACAAAACAAAGCAAGCCAAAACAAACCAGAACAAACCAAACCAACCAATACAACCCCATACAAGCCAATACAAGCTAAACAAACATTAAAGCAAACAAACCAGCAAACCAACGAACCAACATCAAATACAGACAATGAATAGAACATGAAAACAGCAAGGGCCGCAACAACAACAAGCCCTAAACCCTAAACCCTAAACCCTAAACTCTAAACCCTAAACCCTAAACCCTAAACCCTAAGGCTTCCGACCCTGCAGGCCGTCAGCCGGAGTTCCAACGCCAAGGGGCCACGGTGCCCAGAGCTCTCAGCCTTGAAGGTGGTTTAGGGTTTAGGGTTTAGGGTTTAGGGTTTAGGGTTTAGGGTTTAGGGTTTAGGGTTTAGGGCAGAGTGGGGCAGTTTCGGGCAGTTTAGGGGTTTAGGCTGGCGGGGATTTTGGGTTCCAAGGTCCGGGGTTGGGAGGCTCGAAGCCCCGCTCGCGCGTGCGTTGTGTTTCAAGGAGCAAGCCGACGCGCAAGCGAGAAACCCCAAACCCCAAAGCCCAAACCCTAAACCCTAAACCCTAAACCCTAAACCCTAAACCGCATCTTCAGTCCCAGGTCCCACAAGGGCCGCTCCAAGGGCATTTTTTCCACAGGCGGGGGGGTGTTGAGGGATATTTCAGGTTCAGTTCGGGTTAAGGGTATAGGGGTGGTTTGAGGAGTTTTTGCTTCTTGAGGTGCCTTTTTAGCTGTTGCTTTGCTTGAGGGCCCTTTCCTGTATCTGGACTTGCGCAGGAGCTTGTGCAAGCTCAAACTTGTCTGGCATGTTTTCTTTGCATGAGCTGCAGTTTAGCGGGTTAGGATTTAGGGTCTAGGGTTCGGGGTTTAGGGTTTTTAGGGTTTGGGGTTTAGGGTTTAGGGCCTAGGGTTTAGGGCGAGAAGCCTTTGCATTGTGGCTTTTGCATTTTTTCCGCTCGACACAGCCGATGCATGAAATGGGAAGCAAGTTACATGAGCAGACTCACAGCCATTCCTGGGGGTACCTTTCGCATCCTATAGAAGACTTGTCTTACACAAAGACTCCTCCCACCCCCCCCCCCCCCTCCCCAATGCGTCACTGTACCTTGTGTCAAGCTTCAACACGCAGCAGATTTGGTTAAAACTGATTCCAGCATGAGGTTGTTGACAAGACGAAACGTATTTCAAGCTTCGGTTGTTGGCCAGAAGGGTAGAGGTTAGAACCAAAGGACCCAGAGAGGGGTGAGCCCTTCCTTTTGGAGGTCGGCTTGCGGTTCAGTCATGCTTTGCCATGCTGCACTTCGGTCAAGTGTCTACATCCCGTCTGCGCTCAGCAACGCGTGCTGCTTCGTTCACCTGGTTGCCCACCCCGGATCCCAGCTTCTCCAAGCGTGATCCATTGGGATGTTCCCCCTGCCTTTCACCTGTGGGGCCTTGGACAACCCTAAACCCCTAAACCCTAAACCCTAAACTTTTACGTAGCCCTAAACCCTAAACCCTAAACCCTAAACCCTAAACCCTAAACCCACGGCTCGCATTCAGCGGAAGATGTCGGAGTGGTTCCGCGGGGAGTGGGTGCCCGAGTGGGTCAAGGAGCAGAGGAGGATCGCAGATAGGCGCTTTGAGGAGGGCTCGTCCACGCTCCAGGAGACGGTGGACCAGCTCGTTGCCCTGCTCAATGCCCACCGTGCCCCACGTCAACCACAAGCGCCTGCTGCGGAAGAGGAGGCTGCTGCGGACCTGCCGGGCGTGAACGATGGCGACGGCGCCTTGGGGGACGCTGCTGCTGCTGACGCTGCTGCCCCCTACGTGCCGCTTGAGACCTGGGAGGAGCGTCATGGTGATGTTGATCGCTGGGTGGGGCCTTTACCGCCTGAGGCTGACTTCGCGCAGGGCACGGGGCCGGTCGTGGGGTCGCACGAGGAGCTCAACCGCCTCTGGTATGAGCAGCAACATGGCAAGGATGCCCCTGTATCCTTCTATCCTGTGGGGGAGCGCCGACCTGGGGACACCGCCGTGGGTGGATCCGCATCTCAGAGCTCGGGGTCTGGTGGCTCCGGCCTTATGGGTGAGGGCGAACCTGCGGGTGGTGGTGGCCCTGCTTCTTCCTCGTCTACGTCGGGTGCGCAGGTGGGTGTGGGGGAGTCGGACGAGGTCCTTGACTGGGAGCCGGACGCGACCGTGGACAATGACGTGGACCTCGACGCCCTGGACTTGCTGCAGGAGGAGTACGCCCTGGACTTGCTGCCGGAGGAGGACGCCGTGCGAGATGAGACGGGGGATGTCGTGATGATGCTGCGGGGGACTGTGTGGTCTTCCCCCTCTTCCACGTCAAGTACGCCGTTGGGAGACTCCGACGAGGTTCTTGATGGGGAACTGGCAGCCACCGTGGACTCGCTGAAGGAGGAGGTTGTCTTCAAGGACGAAACGGGGGATGTCACGGTGATGATGCAGGGGGCTGCGGCGTCTTCTTCCAGCTCGAGCCCTCCCCCGGGGGATGTGATGACGAGGGTCCGCGCCATGGAGGAGGAGACAGTGCGAGCACTCCAGGAGGAGCTCCAGTTCCAAGAAGTTGAGGGGAATGCGCCGGAGCTGCGATGGGGGCTCGCTACTTGGCTTGGTGAGCTGAGCCGGGAGGCGGACTACTTCCACCAGTTTATCGCGGTGATGAGCAATGGGGGTCTTCGGTGTGGGGGCTCTCTTCCCTTCAGCGGGTGCCTTCGAGCGCTCCAGCTCGTGAGCGTGCTGTGGCGTGGGCGAGACAATTTGGCCCGAGGTTTCGGAGGATCTTGGAGGTAGCTAGGCATCTCCCGCCTGCTGTTGTGCCTGGTGGTGGTGGTGATGGCCCTGCCCTCATGGGGGAGGAGGAGATCCTGGATGCCCTTGTGGAGGAGGACCGCGTGCGGGAGGAGGAGCAGCTGAGCATCCTCGCGGGGGAGACCGTGGCCGAGGAGGATGACACCAACACTGGGGGTATTGCTGATGCTGCGGCCGCGAGGGACAGTGTGACCGGGGGCATTCCTGCTGTTCCTCCTGGAGTTCCTCCTGATGGTCCCCTTGTCGTTGCCCTTCCTCCTGCTGCTCCTCGTCCTGGGAGAGAGCGGTCGCGCTCGCGAGACGCTATGCCGGAGGGGGATGCCACAACGCTCGTGCAGGGGGTAGCTCGCCTTTCGGTTCGAGTTGGTGGCGACGCTCCTGGGGATACCCCTGCAAGTGGAGGGGGAGATGTGGCGAGCGGGGAAACTACTGAGCTACGTGATGTGGGGGCCCGTCGTGCTGCTCTTCGTGGACTTGTGGTGGGATCGTTGGGGGAGACTGACTATGCCGAGACCAGGGAGGTTGTCCAGGAGGCGTTTGGGATGGGGGCTCATGCCCCACACCTGTGGTTGCCGGCGACGTGGTTGGGGGAGCTCCGTGATGATGTTCTACGCCTTCACCCGGTCGTGGTCTTGGAGGTGCTGGCGGCGGTCCGCTCCTTGGGGGACAACACCTTGGCGGAGATCCGAGAGTGGTGTCGGTCAGTGGATGCGGGCAATGCAGTCAGACTCGCCTGGTGGGATGATGGCCCTACGCTGGAGGAGGGGGCAGCTGGGACCTCGTCGTCATGTCCCTCTACGCTGATGGTTGGCCCGCCGGAGGAGGAAACTATGGGGGTGGGTGTGGCTGGGACTTCGACGCCGCCGTCTACATCTTTGCCCGCGATGCCTGGGGGTGTTGCCACTGGGACTTCGTCGCCGCCGTGTTCTTCTACATCTTTGGTGGTGGGGGATCGTCGGGTGGATGCACCTGAAGTTTGATGGCTTCCCTGAGGGCGTGTGTGTGCCTGGGGGTTTTTCGTGGTGGCAGAAGAGAATGAGGAGGAGGGAAGAGAAAGAGGAGGAGGAGGTGGTTGTTCGTGTTTCACGTCTGGAGAACGCTGACGTTCCGCCCGAAAAAGGTGATTCCAGTTAAAAAAAAAAAAAACCCTAAACCCTAAACCCTAAACCCCAAACCCCAAACCCCTAACCAACCTTGCCATGCAGGAACTCGATTCCTTGTCTTCCCGCGTGGCCATGGCGGCGACTATGTACAGGCAAGATGCCACGTAACTTCTGATTCTTCCCATGTGTCAAGTGTGGAGGATCCCAGTTGTTCGTGGATTCGGGTGAGCAAACGGGCGCCCAAATACAAAGTGTACACATGGGTTGTCGAGGTGCAGCCTACACGGTTGCCAATGATATGATGTGTAGACAGCTGTGCTCCTGCCCGTGTCGCAGATGTAAGCTCAGGACTTCGCCACATTGCTCAATCGGGAGTTTTGGCATGATGCCACCATTTGTGTGTTCCGAGAGATCGCATGCCGTTTGTGACTCGAAGCTGCTTGCCAGGATATCTTCTCATGCTTTTAAGATACTCCTAGCGGGGCATAATTCAAAGCCATTCAAAGCCGTGCACAGATACCTCGCCACATGAAAGACCGCGTGCAGATTGCGAAGGACGATGCCGGATTTCAGTGTCACCCAAGTCTGTGCTTGAAAACATGCAATCCTTGCATAGAAGATGCGATACAGATATGTATATATATATATACATACACACATATATACACACACATACATACATACATACATACATACATACATACATACATACATACATACATACATACATACATACATACATACATACATACACACACATGTATGTACACACACATATGTATATATATATATATATATATATATATATATATATTGTATATTACACATTTGTATTTGTTTATTTATGTATGATATATATATATATATAGATTAGTTTGAATTATATATATTTACGTATTTATTTGACTAATTATTAATTTGTTTGTACACATACATACACATACATACATATATGTTCATATATATATACATACATACATATACATGTGTGTACACGTGCGTGAACTTCAGCTGCCTCCGTGCGTCGCTTTCAAGGGCTTTGTGGTTTTGGTGGTCAGCTCCGCGATAAAACCCAAAGGACTATGTTGATCCAGTCCTCCTGTCTTCTACAGACGTTCGCCTGGGCCCCAGAACGCCAGCTGAGCAACGTTCGCAGGTAGAAGCCGACAGACCTTTTTCACTCTTCGGGTTTTGGGGTTTAGGGTTTAGCTTTTCCTAATTGTGTGGTGGCCTTCTGTTTAGCAGCTGGTCATTGCCTACAGCCTGGCAGCAAGGAGTCCAGATGCAAAAAAAGGGTTTAGGGTTTCATTGGCTTGCGAGAGTATGGGAGTCCAGTCGGTAGCACTGGAAGCCTGTGCTTGGGCAGTTTCTGGCAGATCTCACGGGAGTCCGGATGCAAAGGTCTAGGGTTTAGGGTTAGTAAAGGGCAGCAAAAAACAAGCACACTTCGACACGCGAGAGTTTGCATCATTTCCGGGGCTTCAGGAGCCCGTCCATGAAGCCAGGTGACCCTGCCCTAAAGCCCCAAGCCCCCAAGCCGAAACTGAAGCCGCAGAGCTTTACCCTAAACCCCTAAACCCCTAAACCCCTCAACCCATACACCCCTACACCCCTAAACCCCTAAACCCCTAAACCCCTAAACCCCTAAACCCCTAAACCCTAAACCCAACTGAAGGTGCCTTGGCATCCACGACTGGAGGCCCTCTGCGAGGATGCATCACGTCGGCACGAACAAAAGCCTAGATTAGTAGCTGAACGAGTAAAACTTTGCACTTATTGGGATACTTTAACCCCCTATCGAACTGAAAGTGTGCACGTTCAAGGGGCTTGAGAACTCAGCAGCTGAGCTAAAAACAACAACCTGCACACAGATCATGTCATCATGTCGCAGCTTGGCTTCTGCGCATCATCTGCAGGTTTAGGGTTTAAGGTTTAGGGTTTAGGGTTTAGGGTTTAGGGTTTGCCTTTGAGGTTTTTTGAACTGCTGTTGCGCCCAAGAGCCCCAAGCGAAGCTACAGCCAATCGTGAGCAAAGGGGCCCGAAGTCCAAACAGGACCAGACTTTCGATGAAGGCTGCCTTGGGTTTAGGGTTTAGGGTTTAGGGTTTAGGGTTTAGGGTTTAGGGCCCACCTTTAGAGGCCGCGAGGGCCAATGTGCGATTGCAGGGTGTAGCGCAATGAACTCTGCGAACCCTGGCACTCCTCTCCCCCCTTCGAAACCATTCCCCTGCGCAAAGCCCATTTAGACACACCAGATGATTTAGAACCACCAGACGGTAGGCACACACACTCGGCAGAGAGTCGACAAAGCCCTAGTAGTAGAGTAGGTAACCTTTAACCTTGTTGGGGGTAGTATGGTCCCCTTATAATCCCAAAGGTTAACCTTTGATTCCCCCAGGTTACTGGACAACTAGGCTAAACCCTAAACCCTAAACCCTAAACCCTAAACCCTAAACCCTAAACCCTAAACCCTAAACCCTAAACCCTAACCTTCTGTGTCTGTCGGTGCCTTGGGGGCTTCAGGCCTAGATGGCCGAATCCACCCCGCGCCCGGAGTCCAAGCTACTGGAAGCTGAACTACTATTTGATCAAGAACCCCCCAAAAAATATACGATAATAATGCCTATGTTATCCTTGTAAGGAAGAATGTTGTTATGTTTTTCTTTTGAGGGGGGGTTCTTAAGCAGTTGGTAGTGAAGACGGGTTCTGCAGTTTCGGCATTGAAGGTTTACGGACACCTGGCACGTCGGCTGGGCACGGTTTTGGGACGGCGGCCTAAGGTTGCAGCAGCGCGTGGTGGAGATCTACACGCCTGGCCCTCGGGAGTCAGGTTTAGGGTTTAGGGTTTAGGGTTTGGGGTTTAGGGTTTAGGGTTTAGGGTTTAGGGTTTAGGGTTTAGGGGTTAAGGTTCCTTCCACTGAAGCACCTGAGGTCGGGCACAGCCCGACCCGAGCCTTTGGGATGCTTTGGGAGAATATTTTACTTCTCGGGTACTGGAATTCCTAAGAAACAGCTAAAATTGGAAGGGTTTAGGGTTTAGGGTTTAGGGTTTAGGGTTTAGGGTTTAGGGATTTTTGCTAGGGTTCCAAGCGATGTGAAGGCGCCATCTCCTTCAGAGGTTCAAGGTTGCATCCTAAGCCCTAAGCCCTAAGCCCTAAATGGGCAGCCATCTTGCGTCATCTCTCTGAGGTGGGAAGGCGCCTCGAAGACCGAAGCCAGACCTAAATCCTTAGCCCCCATTTGACCTTAAGAAGAACCGTATGAAAACCACCTGAAACCCTTAAACCCTACAACGAACCCCAATCCCGGCAATGTGGCCTGAGTGTCAGCCAGGCGGGCGTGCAGCCTCACCCTGAACCCTCAAACTCGATAAATCCTTAAACCCTCAAACCCTTTAAACCCTCAAGCCCCTAAACCCTTAAACGCTCAAACCCCTAAACACTAAACCATAAACCCTTAAACCCCTAAACCCTAAACTGAAAGGATAAAGACTCCTGGCCCTAAGCCTGTACCCCGATGGGTTCCCCTGAATACACTCTTCATACGGTTTAGGGTTTAGGGTTTAGGGCCCTTATGCTGCCGTAAGGATCTTTAAGAAGGTTCCCCCAAATCCCAGAGGTGCAACCTTCAGGGTCCAAGGTACAACCCCTAGATAAACCCTCAACACTAAACCCTAAACCCGCCAGTCTCCTGAACCTAAACCCTAAACCCTTAAACCCTTAAAACCCTTACACCCTTAAACCCCTAACCCTAAACCCTGAACCCTAAACCCTAAACCCTAAACCCTAAACCCGCCCGAAGCTCCCAGAGGCGTCCGCGCCAGTTCTTCCTCCTCTTCCAGGGGCCGCCGGGAGCGGGCAAGCCTGGGCCCCCAGCTGAAAAACGTTTTAGGGTTTAGGGTTTAGGGTTTAGGGGTTTTAGGGGTTTAGGGGTTTTGGGTTTTTGGGTTTAGGGTTTAGGGTTTAGGGTTTAGGGTTTTAGGGTTTTAGGGTTTTAGGGTTTTAGGGTTTTAGGGTTTTAGGGTTTTAGGGTTTTAGGGTTTTATGGTTTTAGGGTTTTAGGGTTTTAGGGTTTTAGGGTTTTAGGGTTTTAGGGTTTTAGGGTTTTAGGGTTTTAGGGTTTTAGGGTTTTAGGTTTTTAGGGTTTTAGGGTTTTAGGGTTTTAGGGTTTTAGGGTTTTAGGGTTTTAGGGTTTTAGGGTTTTAGGGTTTTAGGGTTTAGGGTTTAGGCTTTTAGGGTTTAGGGTTTAGGCTTTTGGGTTTTAGGTTTCGGGCTTGGCGCCAACCCAGTCCATGCTTCAAAAAAGGTTTAGGGTTTAGGGTTTAGGGTTCAGGGTTAAGGCTCAGAAGACCTAAAACCCAAGCACATAGCTTCTTGGAGGGTTTTAGGGTCACAGAGAAGCTCACCCCATGGGGGTCCCTCAGCACCCTCACCCTATAAACCCTTAAATCCTGTAACCCTCAACTCCAAACCCTAGACCCTGAAGAACCCTTAAATCTCCCGAAGCCTTGGCAAAATAAAACCCTGCAAAAGCCTTGTGTTAAAAAGACCCTGTCAAATTCTGGCTAAAATCCCTAAACCCTAACTCCTAAACCCTGGTAGAAACCCAGCAGGACGACGCTGGGTAAGCGGTCGTCTCCTCAGTGCTGCATTGGGGGATTTGGGCCTACGAGGTCCAGTGGAGGGAGGTTGCCAACCCCACTTTGGAGGTTTAGGTTTTCGGGTCTAGGGTTTAGGGTTATTTCACTTCGCTGCAAGTGCATGGGATTGCTTGAGGTAGTCCCGGTTGTGTGGCTCGCTGACACTGAGTGAGCAAGGATGGGCTTGCTCAATAGGAGTAAGTTCTGTTTGTGTCCGGCCCTCAGATACAGCTTTGAGGTTTGGGCTTCGCTGAAAGGGTTTAGGGTTTAGGGGATGAGGCTTTCAAACTACTTCGGCGGGACTACAAGTCGGGGAATTGTCGCTATAGTTGGTTCTAGCCTTCTTTAGGGTACTTGTACCCCTACTTATAACTACCTACGAACCTCAAGAAACACGAAACCCTAAACCCTACTTATACCATGAATCCCAAACCCCTCAAAGTTCTATAGGCCCAACTGGCCCAATGGCAGGTTAAGGGACACATCCGACATCAGCCCAAGGTTAGAAGCCGAACTGGGCTTCTACCACCTGTCTGGCGGACTGGGCCCCCTTCGAGTGTGGGGTTTAGGGTTTAGGCTTTAGGGTGTAGGGGTTAGGGTTTAGGGTTTAGGGTTGCTCTCTCTCTCTCTCTCTCTCCCTCCCTCCCTCTCTTCGCACGTAGGAGCTGCCCAGAAAAATCGCCAAGGCTGGAATGACAGGCCAACCCTGACATGTTCCCGAGGAGAGGCGTACCGCGCGGCAAAGGCTCGGGCGTCTGTGAGCACGCGGCTGGGCAGCCACTGGCATCGTACATTCGGTGTGGTGTTGTACGCTTCCAGGTTTGTGGGTTTCGGCCGAACCCAGTAGACCCTAAGCCGCTCAAAGCTTCCGAGGCCGGGTGACCTCCAAGAGAACTGCGCTATTCCATAAGTGGCGGCTTAGGGTTAAAACCCTAAGTCCATCTTAGGGTAGCTACATGGTCCCTTCATATGGGCCCTTCAAAGGGACCCCTTATATACCCCGCATATACCCTGCAAAACCCAAGGGCCCATACTCAGAACCCCTTCAAGAACGTAAGGGACCATACTAAGAGTTCAGTACAAAGCAGGGTTCTAATAAGTGCCCTACTTAGGGTTGTGACGATCTTTACCAACCTTAGAACCCTACTTATAGCTGCCCATGAACCTGGACCAAGGATGGAGTTGGAGTGGGGCCCACTCATGAACAGTTGGGTAACATTTGTGGTAGCACTATATAGTAGCCCTACTGCAAAGCCTATTTCACACTGTTAATGGGTGGGGGCAGGACCCACTTGGAGGTTCATGGTACTTCTTAACCCTCTAACTGTACTTAGAACCATATTAGGGCACTTAAGGGCTTACAAGTGGAATATAAAAACCTAAACCCTAAACCCTAAACCCTAAACCCTAAACCCTAAACGTACAGTTATAATTGGTTAGTAAGGACCATGAACCTCCAGGCAGAGTTGTAGACAAGAAGGGCGTTAAAAAGTCGAAGTCCCGGCATCTGAGCTCCCGTCCTCCTTCGACTCCACAAGCCCTCAGCTTGAGGGGCGTCTAGCTCCGAAAAACCCTAGACCCTAGGCCCTAAACCCTAAACCCTAAGCCCTAAACCCTAAACCCTAAACCCTAAACCCTAACCCCGGGAACCGTGGGGTTTAGGTTAGGGTTTGTGGCGAAACCCTAAACCCTAACCTAAACCCCACGCCTGAATCCGCCTGGACTCCCCCCGGGACTTTTCCCAAAACGACCGTCCGCTCGACGCTTCCGGCGGTGCCCTTTCCCCCTTGTCGTTAGGGCATCTAAGGGCTGCTTGGAGGTCCCTAAACCCTAAACCCTAAAGCCTAAAAGATCCATGGTACTTACTACCAAAATAACCATATTAGGGGAAAATAAGGGGCTTATAAGGGGGTAGTAAATGCAGCGAAAATTGGCGATTAAGTACCACGAAGCTCCAAGTGGGTTCCTGTAGACATCCCGGCAATGACCCTTCTCATGCCAAAAGCCCAAAGAATTTCTAAGCAGCGAAGCACGACTTGGAGGGTAGGGAAACTGTATCTACATCTGGATATAACATGAGTTAGGGTACTCCTAACCCAAAACCCTAAACCCGACTTATGACTTCCCAAAAGAACCTTCAAGTACAGCTCCGAATGCCGAGGCGGGCCCAGGCCAACCAGCAGACAGTCGCCAAAGTGTCAGGCACCAAGCCGGCTCTTCTTGCGGCTCTAAGGCTTTTTGGGGTTTAGGGTTTTGGGTCTAGGGTTCAGGGTTTAGAGTTTAGGGGTTAGGGCTCAGGGTTTAGAGTTTAGAGTTTTGGGTCTAGGGTTGGGAATTGGGGTCAAGGTGGTTTGGGGGTTCGGGTTGAGTGTGAATGTGTGTGTGTGCTCGCGCGACCACCTTGAAAGACAAGATCTGAAGCCGATGCTCAGTTTGCTTC